GAAGGATTCCCCATATTAACTAATGGTTAAAAAAAAGCTATTACAGAAGAATTATAGGACTATCATGTATTAAGAAATAATAGATAATATAAGCTTAAACAGTACTATATTTCTGAGAAAATTAATTAACCTCAAGCCAGTGAGTTCCCTCATACAAAGAGATTAGACATCCAGCTTCACATGCAGTGAGCTTCGAACACTCTATCTGGACTTTTTAAAAATGTCACATAAACAAACTTCCTCAGATTGTTCCTGTGACATCATATTTTAGCCTTTAATGTATCTTCACCTCTGATGTAATTTTATTTCTTGATTTATGACAGGTAGGAACTCCACTAATTCTTTAACAGTGGTAAAAAGTGTAGCTGGTAAATACAAGACATAAACCATCAGGTGAACAGTCATTCTAGTGTTGATAAAAGGTCCATCAACCTGCTTCTCCTTTTCAGACAGTGGCTAAGACCAGATGCTTCACAGACAGGTATACATAATATGAACATAATATATAGTCATGTTACAGTATAATCTTCTTTTCACTAGCCCCAAGCTTACCTCTTAAATATTCCTTCCTAGCCCATTTCTGTGCTTCATTATAGCAAAATCTGTGAAATGTACTCAATGTAATTGCTACGCTTATAGAAAATGAAAATAGAAAATGTTCTGTGCACAAAGTGGGTGGGTAAAGCAAAGCTCGTGTGATGATAAAATAAGGACATAAAAACATGCTTATGAAATTGTAAAAGTTTAAATACTTGTGATTATAAAATACTATATTTTGTTTCCATACTTGTCTCAACTCTCCTCATTTTTAAGCAAGCCTTAAAAATAATTTCAGATGGGAAGCATCTCACTTTTTAATGATCAAAAAGATAATCCTTTGCCTGAATAGACAGAATTTCTGACATTCAATTCAAAACAGATCATCAGATTTCAGTTAAATGTTCTTATAGGGCTTTACACATGGGTTTTGGACCACAATTGGTCCTAACATATTTTGGCACATAAATGTGTCTCAAACAGCTATAGTATCTATTAAAAGGGAAAAGTAACTGATGCTGGAACTCAGCAATAAGTACAGCAGGGCTCTGAGTATCCAAAATTATAACTGAGTAACAGCAAAATGGGTTTGGTCCTTAGCAGAGCTAGCAATCATTTCACTCCCTGAGGCACAAAGTCTGCCAGTCCGCTATGACTGCTTTGCTAACTACCCTAAGTGCTATACTTACTTATAACTTAGCAAGTGATAACTTGCAAAAAGGAGCTCTGTAAATTGACTGCAGTGCCACAGTAACTCACCTGCTCCCGAGTTCTGTACGCTCGCGGCAATCTATCCTCAATATTCTGAGCCACTCCTGAGTGCTGGACCTGCTTTAGCGCAGAGCTTGTAGCTGACTCAGGCTGACTCTGGCATACTCCAACATGAGCAAACTAGAAAATAATGACCATTGTGTCCCATTAAAAAAAAAAATATAAAAAAAAAGCAAGCCAACAACAAACAATCAAATAAAACTGATCAGAAATGTGGGCAAAACCGGATTTTCCTTTTTTTTTTTTTTTTTTAATTATTTGGATTGCAGCAGCACCTAGCGGCCTCTGGAAAAATCAGGAGCCTTCCTCACACATCTCAAACCCTACCATAAAGACCCCATGACGCAGATCTGTAAAACAGACAAGAATCTTATTTCTCTAGGAACTTTCTGAAAATTGTTTATACAGCCATAACCCATCCATCAAAACCACTCCTGCTATAACGTCTTTTTTTCCTCCCACGTTGCTCCTGTTGTTGTACGACCGAAGGTTTGTAAGCACAAAACTTTTGGGGAACAGCTCAGCCTGAACCCACGGGTTCAGAGAGAGAACAGCTCAGCCAGGCGAGCGCCGCAGTGCCCTGGGGTGACCCGACGTCCCTCTGACGGGGGCTGCGGCACTTCTCCCGAGGGCGAGAACTGAGGCAAACGTCAGCTGGCATTTTCCAGAAGATAAAGAAAATTGGCTAGAGCTAAATGTAAAATAAGAGACTGCCAGCACTGCTGGAAAACTGAAAAAAATATCCTGCCAGTTTGCTTTAGCACACTTCCTCTCAATACCTAGGGCACTTTTCCTCGTAAACATCAGGAACGAGAACCCTCGTTTCTGGCTAATGGGCGGAGCCACTCTCAACATCGTGTTTTTCCCAGAGTTTAAGGATAAAAAAGGAACATGGGGGCTCCCACCCAGCTCTCACCCAGGTGCTGGTGTGCTGCTCGCTGGGGTGGGACCACCTGCCCTTGTGCATGGCCACTATCCCTGGTCCGGGCACCGCGGTTGCCATGGCGGGCACCTGTCCTGCTCAGAGTGGGGAGAGGAACACCCCCCGGAGTGTGTCACTGATTCTGGTGTTTCAGTAAGATCCAAAGCAGCAAAGGCAGCACTGCATTTCCTTATTTGCTTTTACCAAAACCAATTTGGTTAAAGTATTGAATGCTGTCTTAAAATGAGAGAGAAATGCAGTTCTGTTAAAAAATTAATTAGTTTTGTGCAATTACTTCAATGACACATTACAGTCTGAGTGGTAATACCTGAAGAGGGCCATTTTTGAGAAAAAAACCCCAAAACATTGGGTATATTATTTTTAAGATGTAACCTCATGCTCTTTTAAAAATCCTTTTACCCATGGACACTTCTTAATCGCATACACAAACATTTGTTAAGAAAAAAGCCTGATGGCACCTAAAGGATATTTTTGCCTTCGAGTTTGGGCACTGACTTGTAAACATCCATGCTATTTAACTGTCAGGATGCTCTGGCAATCAGCACAGGCAGGGCTCCAGGAAACACAACAGGGACTGTCCCCCACAGGGAATTCAGGGGGGGGGCTGCCCTGCTGGGGGCAGACGGCGCTAGATGCCATCTGTGCCGTGCCACTTGCCCACTGGCCAGGAAAGTCCCCAGTCCATTCATTCCTATTACAGATACGGTCCCTAAGATGGATATAGCGGGCCTTTTTTTTTTTTTTTTTTTTTTTTTTTTTTTTTTTTTTTTTTTTTTAATATATAGCATTTGTAAGATGTTTTTATGGTTGGGGAAGTGGAGAACCAACCAAAATGTTAAGGCTTGTTTCACAGAAAGGAAAACTAAGGTACAGAGTCCTTGCTTATGGTGAAATGAGCCTGTGGGTGAGCTGTAGACAAGGCAGAACTTGTCACTAAACCAAGCACAAACCAAGATTTTGCCTCCTCAGCCTCAACAGACTATGAAGAACATGACAGTCACATGGTAAGTGACCCGCTTTCCTCTATATTCCAAGGCTAACTTATGTGGGAATCAGACACCATGGCTGGCAAACGGAACAATAAAAAAATATGGTACTTGTATTAGTTAATTATGAATGATTCAGTCATAGCCATTTACAAAGTGCAATTACAAAGCTCCTGTGGGAAAATCTCACTGTAAGACATAGGCAATGATATTTGGGAATGCTAGCTGCCATCACAGAGCTTTTCAAGTCTTTCTTCTAAATTCTTCATTGTTTCTCTAAGTATCTGTTGAACTTTTGATCATACAGATAAGATTATTTGGAACTTATTATTAGTGATGCCATACTGCAAGTTACTTTTAAGTACAAAAGTAGGTGAATAACTTTTATGATGATTTACAGAGGCCAATGTAAACCTTTTTTATGAAAAATAAGCTGTTTCAGATAATGCAATTTTGGTTAAGAAAAAAAAAGTTGTAAACAATCTGTAAGAGCAACATATTTTGAAACACTTTCATGATTGCATTGTCACCTCAGCATTGACTGTAATGAACTGTACCAAGGTCTGAATGTGCCAGGATCAGATCAGAAGGCTGGGGAGATAGTTCATGTTATTTTTATGACTAAGCCAGTGATAGAAACAGCTAGAGAAGGATAAAGAGCGTGACAGGCAGAGGAACCTGTAATTTGTTTTCATACCATTCTAGTTATTTTCAGACTCAATAAATTCAGGCCCATTATTGCAAACTCAAACAGCACTTTGGCTTTTAATATTACTCCACTAGAATCTGTCTCTTTCCTGAAGGGCTGCAACAGTTTTCTATTTACTGCTGTTTTCCAGTGAGATATGGGTAAAGCTGAAAAAGTTTAAGGATGAAACTTAAAAGGTCCTTTCCTAACACCATAAAAGGATTCTAAAGGAACATAAGGAATATATAATTAAATTAAGGAAGAGTTGAGCCAGTCTGCAATGGCAGTAGGCATAGGTCCAATGTAATAAAAATTTGACTAAAACTGCTTTAGAACATTATCTGAAATGTTTCTTAAATAGATTCTATATGTGTATTTTCATACCAAAGCATATTGTTGCATTTATACTATTGTTGTTACTACTAAAAGACATATGCTTTGCGTTAGTAAAAATAAGCAAAAGTATTTTAATTTGGTTTACAAAGGAAACGAGGCTTATGCAACTGCACTTTCCATCTCTGAGATCTCTTAATTTTCAAATCTTCAGGCCATTTTCAATCAACTTTAGGAGAAAGAATGAATTTCAAAGATGACCAGGATCATTTAAGCTTCATGAGGATCAGTGGTAGGACAGGAAAGTACCCCAGAAAAAAAAAAAAAAAAAAAAGCAGGCCCTGATCCAGGTGCTGTATGTTGTGTGTATATATATATATACACACACACAACATATGATGACAGGCTGTCAGCATTTGTAGCTCCTGACCAGTCATGAACTGTACTGTCTCCTGTGGCATGGAGAATAATGAATAACATTTAAGAGGAAAACAGTAAATAGTAAAAATCCTTTGGGCACTATTCAAGGCACCATTTGCTTGCTCAGGCCGTAACATCTAAGCCTTTGTCAAATGCAGTGTACAAGCAGAGGCCAGCACGCAGTTCTTGTTCCCCACACTCTGAGGATCCCACCACCAAGCGCTCACTGGTTTCATGAAGGTTACAGTTAGTCAGCATGTCTGCAAACCCCATCAAGAAACTCTGCTGGGCCCATCCCTTACCTAAGCTACCTAACACAGCAATGTACCGGTTGTTTCTCAGGGTAGGGTTCCGACAACCCACGACAGCCGGGCTCCGGGGCCCTGGGCCTGAGCAGGTCCCTGAGCCTCAGCAGCTCCTCGCCGCGCCCTGCAGACCGCAGCGCCTCACTCCCCTGCTACGGCAAAGTGGCGTAACCAGGCGGGCTGCTAATGCTGGTGCAGCCCCACCACAACCACCCGCTTCGGGTCAGCGCCCTGGGGGCTGGGAAACCGCCCAGAAAAGCCAAACCAGCACCTAAACCGGGCGAGAAGCAGCCCGGCAGC